GCGCCTCTTCTGCTCCTCGTGGGCTCTGCGGGTGGCATCGCACTTCTCTTTGGCCGATGTGAAGAGCTCTGCGGCGGCAGCCTGCATGGCGGTCTTGAGCTCCTCCTTGCGCTTGGCGATCTCGGCTTCGCCCTCGGTGCCCAGCTCGTACTCTTCGCCAGGGTCGAACATGTCCCCGCAGTCAATGAGGTCGTTGGCGCTGAGCTTGCCCTCGAGCAGGGACTGCAAGTCGAGCTTGGAGGGGTTGGCTTCCTTGGGGCCGAGCTTGGTCTGGTATTCTTCCTCCAGGACTGTCTTGTACTCACGTTCCGCGGCCTCGAGGTCACCCACCAGCTTGCGAACGAGCTCGGCTTGGTCAGTAGTCTGCTGCTGAAGCTTGGCCAGGAGGTCTGTGGCGTTAGTGAGCTTCCTCTCAGTCGCCGAGGCCTTGCGCTGGGCGGCGGCGGCACGCTGGTGGGCGGGGCGGACCGCGCTCGCCTTGGCCAGCTCCGCCGCGTACCTGTTGGCTGTGGCTGTGTCTCCCAGCTGGGTGGCCACGTCCACCAGCTTCTGGAGATCAGCTGCCGAGACCTGCGCCGCTGCGGCGCCTGCGCCCCGCCCGCGGCTGGCCGAGCGAGTCCACCTGTTGATGCTGCGCCCAGCTCCTGCGTCACTTGTCCACAGAGCTGGCGCTGGTTCTTCAGTACGCACTTTGCGGCAGTGCTTACACCAGTTCCAATGCATGAGGTTCTGCCCGCATCCACAAAAGGCTGCACTTCCACCGATTACCAAGGCGCCCATGGGACATGTGCCGCGGGCAAACAGAGGCTGAAAGACTGCGGAGGGTCGAACGGCGCGCTCCCCCGAGCGCTCAGTACCTGGGCCGCGGCAGCCAGGCCTAAGGAAGGGGCTGCCCTTCCACCGCGACCTCGAGCCTCTTGAGCCAACATGGCTACGGCTCCTCCTCCTCCTCCTCCTCCTCCTCCTCCTCCCCCTCCCCCTCCCCCTCCTCCTCCTCCTCCTCCTCCTCCTCCTCCCCCTCCTCTCCTCCTCCTCCTCCTCCTCCTCGTCCCCCTCCTCCTCCTTCTCCTCCGCCTTTTCCTCCTCGTCCTCCTCCTCCGTACTCAGAATGTGGCGACCTCACGACTCGTCATGTTTGCTAGCAGGGGACTGGTGCTTGTGGAGGGCGGTCCAGGTTTCCCCAACGGACCGTCCCTCTTTCAGCCAGTGGAGTCCGAAAGCGAATACGCTGGTAGGCGCATAGTCAGCGCAGCACAGAGCCGAGTTTTTCTTCCCCACATCCAAAGTGGGGTTCTTGTGATCTCTGGACACCCTGCGCAGGAACAGGAACCCACCATCATCATCATCCCTCATTCCTCACTCACTCACTCACTCACTCATCATCCCTCACACACTCACTCACTCACTCACTCACTCACTCACGCACTCTCTCACTCACTCACTCACTCACTGACTCATCAACACTCACAGATGATGATGATGAGTGTGCGCGTGAGGGAGTGTGATGATGATCATCATCACCAGTCAGTCAGTCACTGACTCACTCACTCAGTCGTCTTGGGCCTCGTCTGTGAGTGAATGGCGAGGAAGTCTCAAGCGGGACCCCCTCCTTATGGGGCCCGCGGATCATGTTACTAATCCGAGCGGGTCATCCAATTCTTGTAACTGTCGCCACTTTTGGGGTTTCGCGCTGCCAGAACGCCATTCCCAGGCCACATTTGTGAGTGAATTGCGAGGATGTCTCAAGCGGGAGCCCCCTCCCTATGGGGCCCGCGAATCATGTTACTAATCCGAGCGGACCATCCAATTCCTTTAACTGTCGCCACTTGTGGGCCCTCGCGCTGCCAGAACGCCATTCCCAGGCCACATTTGTGAGTGAATTGCGAGGAAGTCTCAAGCGGGACCCCCCTCCCTATGGGGTCCGCGGATCATGTTATTAATCCGAGCGGGTCATCCAATTCTTGTAACTGTCGCCACTTTTGGGCTCTCGCGCTGCCAGAACGCCATTTCCCAGGCCACATTTTGCCCGGAGCCAACTGTAGGCCACTTCGTGTTCTTCGTGCCCCCAAAACATTATTCCCGGGCCACATTTTGAATGCCCGGAGCCAACTGTAGGCCACTTCCTTCGTGTTCTTCGTGTTCCCAGAACACCACTCCCGGGCCATTTTCTGAATGTCCGGAGCCAAAACAGGAGGGCGAGGTCGGGGGCAACGTAGGGAGCGGGGGGAGGGCCCGCGCCAGGGCGAGAAGAAATATACGCAGAAGAGACAGCCAGGACGCCTCACCAACCACGAGGGCGACGGTGAGGGCTTTGACGGTGAGGGCTTTTTCCAGATTCGCCCAGAGGATTCTCATGTGGGGTCCTTCCGTCGGAGTAATTTCTTTGTATTCGCACCGATGGTGTGAAGAGCGTGCTGTTTCTGGCTCGTAGCCTTCATCTGGCCCAACTGAGGAATGGGCTTGCCCTCCCCACTTAGGCCCAGGTGGAGTACACGGGCCACCCCCCGCGTCCGCCACAGGCAAAGAACACTGGCTAGAAAGTGATTGTCTGTCTGTCCTCCCCCTCTTCCTCCTCCTCCTCCTCCTCCTCCTGCTCCTCCTCCTCCTTCTTCTCCTCCTCCTCCTCCTCCTCCTCCCCCTCCTCCTCTTCCTCCTCCTTGCTATCGGCTCGTCCCGGGAGCGATCTACGAGCCATCTCCATGTCTCCATGGCCCCCCTGGGGCGGCCGGCGCCGCGGCTTCGGGCACATCTCCCTGGAGCCGTTTTTTGCTCCATTCGGGAGCAGAGAAAACACAGACACAATGAATCGCCGATTCCCCAGAAAATATGGGAAAATGTGGGCAGTGGGGGGGAGGACAAAAACCAATCGAATATTGGAAAGTATGGGGAATCCTTTTTGTTTGTGTGTATTTATTTGTGTGTCCCAGGGCCCCTTCATCCATCCCTGAGTTGTTTGCGCGTTTTCGCCACGGCCGCCCACCGCGCTCTGGCCCTGCGCGCCTGGCTGCTGCAGCCCGCCCCTGCTCATCGTCGAACTCTTCGGCGTCTGAGCGTCCCTTCTTCCTCTCGGCCGTCCCCATTCCCTCTTTGCTCGACAGCAAATTCGCTAGTCTGTGCCCCTATCTAGCTTCTCGCTGTAGCGGATTTCGCCGCCTCGCCGCTGACGGGAAAGAGTTGGTTGCGCGTTCCTGGCATGTTCGCATCCAGCCCTTGTCGGAGCTCCTTCCATTACTCACGAAGAAGAACATACGGATAAACATAAACTTGTGGCGCTCCGCGCGGATTTCTGGGATCCGCGCAGAGAGCCCCCAGGCGGCGCCTCCGGCGCTGCCCCTGGCGCGCTCTGCGCACCAGGGAAGGGGGCATAGTTCGGATCCAAGAGATCCGCGCGGAGTGCCAACAGTTTATGTTTATGTGTTTGTTCTTCTAGTGTCGGAGCTCGTTCCACTACTCTAGCAAGCGTCCGAATTATTGTTTTTCCTTCGATCTAAATGTATCGTAAACCGGACCCCCCCCGCAGCAGATCCATGCCATGTGCGAGTAGATTCTTTGCGAGTAGCGGAACGCGTTTGTCCAGGGGCGGGGGTCAATGCAAACGGGGGTGCGTCAGAGCGCCGAGTCTTGCAGGATCCGGCAAAGCGAGGGTCGCAGTGACTCAGGTTTGGGTGCAGGATCCTGCAGGATCCTGCCGAGCCTGACTGGCCCCGGTCTGGGTTTATCCGGGTCAGCAGATCCCCGACCCTGTTTTTCAAATCTCTGCCTCCCACTCCTTCGCATCGCCGTCGCCTGTCACTCTTGCCTTTCACTCATGGGTCCGGGGCGCGTGTTCCATGCGATGCCCGTTCCTAGTCCTCAGCTCTCGGCACCTGGCCGACGTGCGCAGTACAGGATGTCGAAAAAGAACAAACAACGGCATACACAGAAGTTTGGATCGACGCTGGGTCCTCCTGGCGGTGCCTCCGACGCCGTCCCTGGGGCGCTCCGCGCGTCAATGGGGGGGTGGCCAGCGTCGATCCGGAGCTCCCAAAGTTTATGGCTATGCCGTCTCCAGGTTCTTTAGGAGGAGGAGGAGGAGGAGGAGGAGGAGGAGGAGGAGGAGGCGGAGGAGGAGGAGGAGGAGGAGGGGTATCCCCCATTTGATGGGTGAGGGGTAGGAAAAGTCGGGCCTGTCCCTCTACAGGGGGAATCTTCAAAAATAGTTTTAAAAATACTCCGGGGACGATTGTTTGACAATTATTGCATATTTTACTGTATTGTTTTACTATTCTTTATTTTTCGCCTAGGATCCCCCTGTAGGGGGACAGACCCGACCGAAGGGTAGGATGAGGGGCGAGATGGGTGAGGAGGGCAGGAGCGAAGGAATATGGAATCGTTGAGCAGGATGAGGAGGCGGATTGCACTGTGGGAGTCCTTGCATCGTGCGGGCTACGCCCGCCAAGCGGTAGCGTCCTCTATTCGAGCAGGCGGCAACGGAAGTCGATGTGAGGCGCATTGTGTATGCACTTGAAGCCATGAGGCATTTTGAAGGTTTCGTATGTTTTGAGCCAGCGGTGTACTCCATTATGCCATTCTATCACTTCTGAGTTGGGCCGCGACCCTGTCCCGTGCTTCTTTGGCGTGTCCAAAGTCAGCAAGAGTTGTTCTCGTGAGTCGGCAACTGATTACTCCAAGATGCATTCACTGACGTATCCAGTTATTCTGATATGGTTGGACGTGCGCGTGATCGCGTGATGGCAGCATCCTCCACGTCATTGTCGGCGGCGAGCCCAGAGGGAAGCGAGAAGGGGCGAGCATTTTCAGAAGGCTCGGAAGTCCTCCAGCCTTCAGAGAAGTTTTTGTAGAAGACCCAGAAAGGCTCTCAGAAGGCTTCCGTCTTCTGAGACGCCTCGCCGCCTTATTTCCTCCCCTCGCTCGCCGCCGTCAATGCCCTCTTCTTGTCTCAGAACGAAGCCTCTTCTTGTCTCAGCCCTCGCACGTTGCCTCCATTTACTCAGGAGGAGGGAAGGACAGCGCCAGCTGCAGCATTGACGATCAGCTGGTCGCAGCAGCTATCGAGGAGCACACTTTGTCGTCTGCATCATGGCATCTGTCACTTGAAACTTTATAATAACAGGGAAGGGGTCACAACCCTCCCAGACGAGCAGTTGCAGACCCCCCAGACCAGTCATGAAATTGCTCAGACCCCACTGGAACCTCCAATACAGCTCCAAGCAGACACCCCCCCAAATCACCCCCCCCTTTTTAGTATGACATCCGATTTAGTCACTTCACGAGCGTACATAGCTCCAGACTTCGGAGAGTCTCCTGATGGTTTCCCGAGCTACGTGGGATTCACTACCAGGAAATCCCGCACCCGCGTCCCCGCCCTCGCAGTGCCCCCCCGCCGCCCTTGGATGATTTCTCGTACAGGTGTGGATGCGGCATTGCGTTGGGCGCGTGCGCCAGGCGCGGTCATGGCGCGGGCAGGGAGTGGAGTCGGACCTGCAGTCCTTTCTGTGTCCTGCTTGACCTCCTCCTCCTCCTCCTCCTCCTCCTCCTCCTCCTCTCTTCCCCCCCTCTTTCTCTCTCTCTCTCTCTCTCCCTGCGCCTCGCCTCTCTGCTCCTGCTACTGCCCCTCCCTCTCGCGCCTCCCCCCTCCCTCGAGCCGACCCCTCTGGGACCGGTGGCCGAAGAGCCCCCGGGGGCCAGGAGGCGGGGCCCCGCGCGGGCTTCGGCCCGCTTTCGGGGAATATCCAGAAATAGTCAAACAATAGTCTGGGGACTATTTTTTGAGCATTTTTTGGGGGCAATTTTACAGCATTTTTGTATTATTTTTTATTTTTCGTCGAAAATCCCCCTGTAGGGGGACACGCCCGACTTAACACGAGAGGGTGGCGGGGGGCGTGGGGGATCGGGGGCGGCAGAGAGGGGGCTGAGGACTGAGGAGGGGGGATCTCATGGCGGGGGCCACGACTTTTCCCCAGATTTCATGGCGCCTCTTCTTGTTTCATGACGTCCCCAGCCCCCCCCCCCCTGGGCCGCGCACATGCCGCCGGCCGTGATTTGCACTCCCCCCCCCTCTTGGACGCCCCCCTCTTGGCCGCCCCCGGCACTCGGGGCCCGGCGGCGCGCCACCCGAGGCTTGCAGGGAGCAGCCCCCCGAAGTGGTCCAGGGCGCCTCGCGACGACGAGGAGGAGGAGGAGGGCGAGGGCGAGGACGACGAGGACGACGGGTCTCACCTGGCGCCCCACGGGCGCCTGGTGTGCCCTCTGAATTCCGTCTGTGGCGTCGACTACAGCGTCGGTTGGCGTCTGGGAGTCGACGAGCTAGCGCCGACTGTCGACCAGCGTCGATTCGCACGAGTCGTCAAGATGGTATGGGTGGCTCCCATGAGTTGCCACCCAAGATGGATGGGGGTGGGTGGAAATGCCCCCCCCCCGCTCGAGCGGGAGCCCTCCAATTGATGCGGTACAACCTATGGGGTCCAATCTTAGTGGTGCAATGAATGCTTGTTCGCAGTGAGTTGTTCAACTCCACTGCTCGCGCAATCATCCCATCCACAGCTTGTTTCGCAAAATCCATGCGGCGGCGATTACGATGGCTGCTCGGCGTTGGCTGGCACATCGCTACGGCCGCATTAGCCAGCCGCGGTGGCGCTGACCGCGAGGACTTCCCAGCGCATCTCGCAGGCCGCGGTGACGCGCTGGCACTGCAGTGCGAGTCGGTGACTCGGGCGGGCGCGGTATCATGGCGATGTCGACAAAGGCAGACACGATGATGGCAGTAGCGGTGCTGACGACGATGATGACGATGGCGACGGCAAGGCCAATGACGGCGCCGATGTTGACCACGCCGATGAAGATGACGGAGTCCAGGTGTCGCCGATGATTGTTTTGAACCGAATTCTGGCATGCGCAGGCGACCGACAGGCGCGAGTGGCCCGCATGGTATGGTTTGACACGGGTCGTGCCCCGTCAGCACGCGCGCAAGGACGTTCGAATGATTTCGACGTCCGCGCGCGAGAGGCTCGTTTGGTCGAGTGCGATGCACATGTTGACTTCGCAGTGGTTTTGCTAGGCACTCGCAGAAGCGCGCGCATGTTTTCTTTGGGGGAACAAGTTTTCTGGACACACAAGGTTGGAATCAGCGCGGAACTGTCGTAGGTTGAATGATTTCCTCGCGTGCGCGCGACAACGCATGCGTGTGCACTTCGTCAAGTTTTTCGCAAAGGGGTTCTTGCAAGCTGATGATGTTTGACAAGCGAGTGTGTGCGCATATTCGTTGTGCCGGGGATGGTGGTTGGGACCCCGGCTTGGCTGGGATCATGTGAACTGATATTTAGAATGTGCGATTTGGGGCAGAATCGCATGTAAATCGCACATCCCCGGGGGAGCGGATGATCCCTGCTTCGGGTGGTGGTGGATCTGGACGCCCGAAATGGGTACCGAAAGAATGGGTACGATGCCCAACAGCAGTTCCTGTTCATTTTGAGCAGGATTCGCTGTCCACGCCGCCGCGGCCTGTGTCCATTCGAGACAGAGGGCCGCCTGCCCAACAGCGGCCGCTGTTGGTTTGGGACAACATTTGCTGTTGGGCATAGTGCCCATTCTTTCGGTACCCATTTCGGGCGTGCAAAGTGGATCCGAATTCCTTTTTTGGAACAGACTCTGCGTTGTCCAATCTACGGGGTGCTGACTATGTGAACCTATCTACGTGGTGCAACGCCTGTTTCGTACGGCGACGAGGCGGCGACGGGGCGGCGACGGCGGCAACACAGCCGCCAGACTGACAGACCTGCCCAGACGACGGGCGGCGACGAGGCGGCGACGGCGACCACATAGCAGTCGGAGCGGCAGACAGGCGGCAACATAGCCGCCAGCTCGACAGACGGGCTCAGACGACGGGCGGCCACGAGCGGCGGCGGGGTGGCGACGGCGGCCGCCTGGCCGCCAGGCCAGCCCAACCTCCCCAGAACAGGAGCACAGAGGCCCTCCAGTGCAGGCACTGCTTGGGTACACAAAAGTGTCCCGCGAAAAGAGCTGCTCCAGAAAGTGCACGGCAACATTGTGAAGACACTGAACCTGTGCACGTCTTTCCACAGCGACGTCTACCAGCGCTTCAGCGGCTACGTGGCGAAGTACCGTGTCAGCGGCTTCTGCGAGGGCGCGCTGGCAATCTTCGACGGAATGCAGCGCCTCGTGTCGTCCCACGTGCGCCTCTCGGAGGAGTGCGCCCGGGAGAAGTCGGTCGGAAGCCAGGCGCTGGGGAGCAGCAGACACGTGCACAGTCACAGCCAGGACGCTGAGCCGCGACGCACCAAAAACCACTCCAGCCCAACCCGGGGTGCCCCGTTTGCCCTCCGTTCCCATCGGCCGGGGTGTCGGATAACATGGACAGACAACACGCCTGGAACCCGTACCCCCCTGAAAAAACTTCGAGATCTGGATCTTCGCGTTGGGTTGGGGTGGTCTGGTGGGTAGTCACCGTGGTCAGGACCCCTCTGGGCCCAGGAGGCGCTCTGGCTCTCAGGGCGCCCCTCGGGTCTGCGGTCGGCGTTGTGCAGACCGCGTGCTAAGTGGCGCCGCCGGCCCTTTCGCCGCGCGCTGTCTCCCACCTTGGGGACAGCGTGCACCGACGAGGTCCTGGCAGGGGGATCGCGCGCACAGGAGGGGCCCTTGCGGGGCATCGTCTCGGAGGCATAGCGTGCCTTTCGGAGATCGGTGCTCCGCGCTCTCTCTCCATCGCCAAACCGCAGGTCGGGGAGCCTCTTCCTGCCCGAGGCTCGCCTTGGCCAGGAACTGCCTCTCAGTCATGCTCACTTCCTCCTCCTCCTCCTCCTCCTCCTCCTCCTCCTCCTCCTCCTCCAGTCCTTGCCTCGTCCACCTCCCTCTCCTTGCCTCGTCCTCCTCCACCTCCCTCTCCTTCTCCTTGCCGGGTCCTCCTCCGCCTCCTCCTCCCCCTCCTCCCCCCTCCTCCCCCTCCTCCTCCTCGCCTCCCTCCTCCTCCTCCCCCTCCTCCTCCTCGTCCTCCTCCTCCCTCCCTTCCTCCTCCTCCCTCTCCTTTCTGCCCCCCCCCCCCCCCCTTGCCTCGCCTCCGCTTCTCCTTCGGCCCACCCTCGCGGCAGCACAGCGCGACTCGGACTCCCGTGGCCCGTGGGCCGCCCCTTCCCCCGCACGACCCCCCCCCCTTCGGGCAGTGGCGATGCGTCCTGGCTCGCCTGTATCAGGAGGGGGAAAAACACACAGACACAATTCATCGTCCACTCCCAGGAAAATATGGGAACATATGGGAAGTGGGGGGAAGACAATAACCCAGAACATATGGGAAACTCTGGGGATTCGTTTTATTTGTGTGTATTTATTGGTGTGTCCCAGGGCCCTTTCACTGTAGCCCCGCCAAATAATACCATAATAATATGTTGTGGTCTGCTCGAAATTTTGTTTTAACAGGTCTGGCTGATGCCCTCTCGTCTTACCACCTCGGGCCATTCTAAGAGCGTTGACTGCCGCGCGACTCCGGGCTTGCTGGGTGCATGTTGCCAGCATCTCGTCACGCGTGGTTCGAGTTTGTTGCGTCTTCGCGGGTTCTGGATAGCCTCCTTGGAGGGGCATCGGATCAGTCGGATGCGCGCTTGTATAAGAAACGTGTTCTAAGAACATTGACTTTTCTCAGCACATTCTTGGGTTCTAAGAACATTTCGTGGTAGGCCTATGGGAATGCTGGGACGGTCGGTCCCTTCTCAGCTCCCCCTTCCCCCAGCGCGCTTCGCGCTACGGGGAGGGGCTGCGTGGAGGAGGGGATGGGCCGGCCGTTCCTAGACCCCCTCGCGTTGTGAACAAAAATCACGACGGGAGGTTTTTCACTATTCTCGGCCTCCGGGGGCCCTTTCCAGGCCTCGGGACCGTCTAACAATTACTCAAGATGAAGAACGGGTCCCAGGGCAGGGGTCCAGACCTCTGGGGTCGACGTTTAGTTGTGAACAAGTCACGACGTCGGGGGTCTGGGTTCGCAGATGCCCGAAGGGCGCCGTGGCCAGAAGGTGCCCCTCCTCCTTGCTGCCCCTCCTCCCTCCTCCTGTTGTCCCTCATCCACCTCCTCCTTGTCCCTCCTCCTCCTCCTCCGCCTCCTCCTGATCCTCCTCCTCCTCCTCCTCCTCCTCCTCCTCCTCCTCCTCCCCCTCCCTCTCCTTTCTCCCCTCCCCTTTCCCTCGCCTCCGTTCCTTGCTCGGCGTCCCTCGTGGCAGCACGACGTGACCGTGGGCCCCAAGCGCCCGCGGGCCGCCTCGCCGCCTGCGCCAGGCCTCCTCCCCGCACGCGCCCCCCCTTCCCTCAGCGCGTTTCGCGCACCGGGGGAGGGGCGTGGCGCAGGGGAGGGACCTCGAGGGAGGAACCCCCCCCCCGTATCCGGGGCAGTAAACGGCTCTGAACGGCTCTGGGCGTTTACTGGAGAGCCCTGCCCTGTTCGATTCCCGCCTTGGTGCGTCTGTTAGATCTGGTTGTTTTTTATCATGAGGGCGTTTTTTTTCTGTTCCTGAGAGAGCTCGAGGATCAAACAATGGCAGAAATATGAGCTTTCGGAGGTACGCCGGTCGGGCCATGATTTGCGCCCCGTCACCGCTCTTGGGCACCCCCCTCTTGGACGTCCCCCGATCGAGGAGCAAAAAATGCCAGGTGGAGAGCGCGAACGCGAAGGACGTGAGGGTACCCCCCCAAGGCAAGAGTTGTGCTTTCGGCTCGTGCCAGCTGCAGACTTCAGGCATCTGCGGACGGCGTCGGACGGCCTTAGAGGACAACCAGTGGCATGAGCATAATTTTTCGGAGAGATCCTCGCGGATTTCTTGGATCGGCGCTGGAACCCCTCCTTGGTGCGTGGAGTGCGCCAGGGGGCGGCGCCTAGGGGGGCCAGCGCCGATCCAAGAAGTCCGCGAGGACCTCCCAAAGGTTACGGTTACATTCAACCCGCATAATGAGGACGGGCAACCCTCCCAAGGGTATCCTTGCATCTTTGCCCCTTCGGCCCATCCTTGCCACTTTTGCTGGCCGCGCCCCGCTCGCAAGACTTCGAAGTGGGCGTCCAAGGCCCTTGCATCCTCATCGCGCATCCTTCTGATACGGGTTAACTGTATGTGATTCGTTGCTCTGAGGCCGTTCGCAGATGCCAGAAGTCTGCAGGCGGCACGGGGGTTACGCACCACTCTTGCATTGGATTGGTAGTTTTACGTCCTTCGTGTCTATGCTCTCCAGCTAGCATGGCCTCCGTTGTGGGTATTTCCACGGGACACTGGGCTCTGGGCGAAGGGGCCCACGTTCTTGACCCACGTTATTCTGGCCTTGTTCCGACTACATGCTTATGTGTGTTCATGTGCGTGGTGTCCGTACTGCCACAGGTGGCGCTGGAAATCGTGGACGCGCTGGGACGCCATGGCGTCGCTCTGGGAAAGCTGCTCTCGGACGTGAACGCGGCGGGCGACGGGAGCTTCGCCCCTGCGCTGGCCAGCCATCTCGACATGCTGGCGGACAACATTGTGAAGGTCTGGCGTTCGCGCCGTGCCAGTCGATCCTCCCCTCCTCCCCGGGTCAAGCATCGGGGCTCGATCCGACGCGCGACGCGGCGAGTGGAACGTTATCATTCGCAATCGGAGGGGCCGGGTGGGACGAGTAGGATACCAGATGCGCCGCGATCACACCACGTTTTCCCCGTTCCTCTACCCCGACGTCGAGTTTTTCCGCAACGTGGACTGCCTCAGGCATCGATCCCTAGGTACAATTTTCCGTCCCGGGTCTTTTTTGATTGTCTCTGGGATCATCAAGGGCCCTTAGAGACAGACAGTGGCTAAAAGTCTCGCGTCGTGATTTGTTCACGACGCGAAAGGGCAAGGGCTTGTTCTCCCTCCCTCCTCCCTTTCATCTGCCTCTTTTGCTGGGGGAAGGGTCGCTGAGGGCCCCTCGGCGCTCCTTGGTCCCAGGCTTGGAGGTCCTCAGAGGGCCCCAGAGGTCGAGTGAGGGCCCCGAGGGCCCAAGACCTCAACCGTCGCTCGTCGTTCCTCGGTCTTCGATGACGACGGTTCGGAGGGGGGACAGCGGCGCCAGCACCGCCAGCGGCCCACAAGCGAGGAGGTCCACGACCCTTCCCGGAGCATGCAGTCAAAGCGCATAGTAAGGATGAACAACCTTCCAAGGTTGCCTTTCCATCCTTCCCCTTCGGCCCATCGTTGGCCACTTTCGTCGCTGGCAGCGCTCCGCTTCAAACGTGTGGCCATGGCCATGCAAGCCCCTTGCATCCGCATCATGCGTATTTGTTTTACGCGTTTGCTGTAGTGCTTGCGGTGCCCCGAGTGAGGCTTCGCAAAGCGGAGGGGGCCACGCTCGCAGGATAAGACACTTCCAGGTCTCCTCTTCCTCGGTGGTGGCGCCGACTCCTCACTCCTCCCAGACGACGACGCCGACGACGCCGACGACGACAACCACGACGGTGGCGACGATGACGGCGACGACGCGTCCCTCCTTCGCCTCACTTCGCCCTTGCAAGTCGACCCCCGTACCACTCCAGGGATGCGTCCTGGCCAGAATGTCCCCAGAAATCCAGCCGTGGTGACAGGAATCCTCCCGGAGGCCACAAAACGGGCAACACGAGAGCATCTTAATGAAAAAAAGCCTCGGACTCGTTCCTTCTCCACCCTCCTCGGACTTCGAACGTTTGCTCCTCGGGCTGCCCCTCCTGGCGTCGGCCCGTTCCCTCGGGGCGATTGCCCGTCCTGTTGTAGCTGTCTTGCCAGCCCCCGCACACCTCGCTGGAAAGCTGCCGTCGCCACTGTGCGGCAGCGCACCCGAGGGGGAGGGCAGAGGGGGCGGCCTTCCCGCCAGGCGGCGTGGCGTCCGAGGCGCCCCCGCGCCTGCCGAGGGCGCGCAGGGCTGGACCCGAACGCTGTCCTGACGGATGTCGGCTGTGGCTTGTCTTCTGTTCGGGAGGGGGGGGGTGTACAGGAACGCGGGCAGAGCAAAACGAGCAGCATGACGAACATATAACGAACACACAACGTTTCGGTGCAGCCCCCGAGAGCACGCCCGCGCCCTCGCGCCTGCCGAGCGCACGCCCTCGCGGCCTTGGAGACGGCCTTGAGGCCCGGGAGGCTCCTCCGGGGTGGCGCGGGGGGGCTCCCTAGAGAGGAGGCCCGCCGCCGTCCGAGAAGGCCAGGCCCCTTGTCTGCCTTCCCCCCCAGGGGCGCGCCGCAGACGTTTGGTCGGCGAGTCCTTGTTTGGCGACGCCCAGTTCATCATCATCATCATCATCATCATCATCATCATCATCATCATCATCATCATCATCATCAGCATCATCAGCATCATCAGCATCAGCATCAGCATCAGCATCATCATCATCATCAGCAGCAGCATCATCATCCTCATCCTCATCCTGATCCTCATCTTTTTCCTCATCCTCATCGAGGGTCCTGCCATCGGGAGGAAAATCCAGCTCTAATAGCACGATGACGCGGTGGCCTCACCGAGGTCCCCGTCTTCGCATCAGGGATCACCATGCTGGGTGGTCTGGTCTGATGCACCCGACTGTTTGGTCCCCCCTAGCTCAGGTCCCCTCCCAAAGGCTCCGGGGTACTTTTATTTTCTATCATCCTGGGCACCCCTTCCTCGGAGGTGCAGGAGCTGTCGCTATCTCCAGAGGGGCAGCGCCAGGACGGCCCGAGGCTGCCGAGTGTGGTCGCGTCCCTGTCCGACTCGCTGCAGCATCTCTGCTCGCTGGTGCTGGAGCAGGTCCAGGCGAGGGGGAGGGAGGGCGGGGGGAAGAGAGGGAGGCAGAGGGATAGGTACATACAGTCGACATCGACAGTAAGGATGGGTAACCTTCCCAAGGGTACCCTTGCATCCTTGCATCTTCGGTCCATCCTGCGCCACTTTCGATCGCCAGCCCTGTTAGAAAAACCTCGGCATGGGCGTACAGGGACTTTGCATCCTTGTCGCGCATCTTTACTCACTTCTGACGGTACCTAGAAGACTGGCCAACGGACTTGCGACGGGACAACAATAGGGACAGCCGTCTCCATCTATTCAGCAGCCTCTATCGGTCTCCCGATGTGTCGGCCTTTGGTTCGTATATTTATGTATGTGTAGATCTATAATTGTATACATGTGTGTTATTCGATTTCATTGCCAATATATGATATACGCGTCGACGTATCGACAGATCGACCTCACTATAGACCTCACTTTATTTCGATCGATTTCGTGATGCATCGACATCATGATACATACTCTATGAAACATAAGCATGTGTGTATGTCTCGTCCACGCTGTCTTTGCATCGATCTCACTATAAGTCGATCGACATTCATGAACCTCACTATCGATATCTCTATTGACCTGGTTATCTATCTACCTAACGGGCTCACAACCGATCTGTCGATCTCACTATCTATCCATCGGGGCAACAATCGGGGCAGCCAGCGGGACAATATTCGGGACAACCATCGGGATAAACATCTGGCCATCAGGACAGGCATAGGGACGACCTGGACAACCACCGGGACAACCATCATGACAAACATAGGGACTTCCTTCGGGACGACAATCGAGACAACCATCGGGACAACTATCGGGACAACCATTGAGATAATTGTCGGGACAACAATTGGGGCAACCATCGGGACACACATCGGGACAATCATCGGGGCAACCATCAGGAATACCACTGGGACAACCACCGAGACAACTGTCGGGACAACCTTCGGAGCATCCGTCGGGAATACCATCGGGGTAACCTTCTGGACAACTATCGGGACAACCATCGAGGCAACCACAGGACGACCGCGGGACAGCCGCGCCCCCAATTCCGCCAAACGGGTTGAGGAGACTCTTTTGCTCTCTCTCTCTCTCTCGCTTCTCCCTGGCAATGGCGGGATCATTCCTCACGCCCGCGTGCGCAGCTTCGCGTCGCCCCCGCGCACGACACGAAGACGAAACCGACACCGACTTCCCAGTGGGGGGTCTTCATTTCACTTCAATCTC